TTTGCCGTTGGTGCGGTTGAAGTACGGATGCTCCTTTCTCACCTTCGTTATAAGCTTCTCCCATATCTGCTTGCACGAAAAAGGGTGGGGGAGGGAAGGTTGGGGTGAAAATAGGAATACTGCTTAGGGGAAAAAGGACGGGGGGGGGAATTAAATGGCGGAAGTTTGGCGGAAAGGGGCAGGAGGAGGGGAGAACGGGGGTGGAGGGAGAGGGGAAAGGGAGGGGGGATTGAAACGGAGGGGAAAGGGGGAGGGGGAGGAGGCGGGAACTGATGGGGGAGCGGAATCTGGGGACGCCGGAAAGTGAAATGGGTGCTGCTAACAAGGTCAATCACGCTGCGGACAGGACAATAAACGAGCGAAACCGGCCGGGTACGGAGTCGCGCGTCGCTAGTCGCTCGAACCTTTCGTGCGGCCCGACAGTGCCTTGAAGCCTTCCGCCTACCGCTCGAACGCCTGCCGCGCGTATCGCTTCTAAGAGTTTCTAGACGTCTCACATCTTCGAAGAGTTCTTAGAAATAATTTGACCGTACCCTGGAACCTTCCTCGATCGCCTGCCGCATGTTGTTCTCCCACGACCGGAAGCAGTACAGCGTGTAACGCGCCGCGAAGAACGGGATGAGGAACAGCGTTGCTTGCTCCGGGTCGTCCGTACGTACGGCGTTACTAGTCCGGATGACCTCCGTCATATAACGCTCCACGTCGTACTGGTGGTTGTACCACGCCGGATTCAGCTCCAGAACCTTCTCCGTGTATTCCGGACCTAAATCGTACACATAGATGAACGGTCGATCGTACGAACCACCGCCAGAACCTGGTTCGGAAACTGCCGAACCTAAACCAGCCGAGTCCGCGGGCTCCATAAGCTGGGAGGTTCGGAGCCCGCTACCGCTACCACTGCCACTGCTGCTGACACTGTTCGTATCCGCGTTATTGACGTCCCGCAACGAGCGAAAGAGCGGACTGCTTTCAGCAACGACATTCGCTGCTTCGCCGTTAGCACCGCCGCTCAATCCGCTCATGGAACCTCTGTTAAAGCACCAGCAGCCGCTGGAGTTCAAAATTGTGACACAAACGGCGGTGCACAAAACGAGGGCTGCGAGCTTGATTAGCGAATTTAATCGCGGCATTGTTATCGTGGGGGTGATTTTCTTGGAAAGACCTGGCGGGAGTATCATGGTGGGGAGGCTGAGCTTGGAGTATGAATGCGCGATTCCGAGGAACATGTTTATATCGCGTATGGATGGCGCTTGCGAAGCGGCGCGGGAGGGAGAGGGACGAAGGAAACGGAGGAGATGAAACGCGCGACGCGCGATGTGCGACGTGCGTCTTGCGACGTGCGGTGTGCGACGGCGACAGGCGACGGGTCGGGCGCGAGAGGCGAGACGAGACGAGGGATGATGAAGAGGGAACGCGACACTAGTCAGGTATCCGCGACTCGCTTTCTGAAAGATTTCAGAAGCGATACGACTTCTGAGTGAACTCGATAATCATTTCAGAAGCGACATTCAGCAAGGCAAAGACTCGCACTCTCGCTATAGCTATGAAGAAGAGAGGAAGCTGGTGCTCAGAAGATTACGACTAAGGCGAGGAGATGGACGCCGCTGTGAAGAGAAGAGCCGTCGAGAGCAGTAAAGCGAGTCGCGAGAGCACCGAAACTCCCGCCCGCTGTGAAGGAAATAGGTTCGTCCGAGTCAAACTCCTAACCTCCCCGAAGACACACAACCTCCTAACCTCCTCTCTGGGGCTGTTGCTGCTTGAAGCCCCCTTGCGACTGCTTGTAGGTTTCCTTGTTCTGGGAGCCAGCCGACGTCTCTTCGCCTCTTTCCACCCTACAAAAACGCACTCCAAACCTCTCTGTCCACTTTGTAAAATGTATTGTTGCCTCGTCCAGCCAAAGAAGAAGCTTGTTTCTCCCCTCACCAAACGAAGAGGTGTGGTTGAAAGTTTCGTTGCGAACCTGGCAGTTTAGTTCCCTTGGTCCAGCCACGAACCTGGCCTCTAAGTTCGCCGCTCTCCAAAGCAAGACCTTCGGGTTCGGGGTCCAAGCCAAGGCTGACACTGTAACCATCGAGGTTAGTGCCCGTATCTGGAACTGCCACGTCAATCGAAGCTTCATAGCCTCCCAAATTTCTGGGCAAGTGATCGCACAAAGCTGTGTGCGACGTGACAGGACTGTTCAGCAACGCCAGTGGTGGTCGTGTCGTGGCGTGACGCTAAAACTTGCAATCCGTGAGCTGCTCCCTCTGGATTGGTTGTTTGACAAGACAGGCTGTCTGCCTGCAGCCTGCGAGCCACTCCCGAGAAAACAGTTGGACAGTTATGGTCATGAACGAAACATGTTGTACATTTACATGCGGACAAAACAGTAACCGAACGATCCCCAAGAAGTCGAAGCCGCGAGTGACGACGAGAGATACACGACAAATAATCGAGCTGTCTTTTCCTCGACATGACAAGTAACGTGACGAGCAAACCAGTCGTTCCGTTCAAACACTTGCTTCTGTCGTGCAACTCCGCCCGCCATGCCACGCTCCCAAATCCAAACCACGACAATACACCTTTCGCCATCTCCCAAAATCCTACTCCCTCACAAATCCCGGACAAGAATCCTCACAATGCCGGACAAGAAGCCTCACAATGCCAGACAAAGACACCAACCAGCAGCCAGAGAAGCACCTGGCGCTCACTCTCGCCGCCACCTCAAACATCCGCATTTTCATCCAAACTCGTGCTCTTGCTTTACGTACATCTACACGCCATATACAATACATTTGGACTTCAATTCAACCTCTTTATTTTGCAACGTGTAACATAGCAAACAAATTGCCACGCTACAGACCAGTCATCCGAAGCTTCTCATCAATTCCTCTTTCTCGAGCCATTTGCAATTGAAACGGTCGAAGATCAGCTGCTCTTTTTCGTAACCGGCGGATAAGCATAGACTCTGCCGACCTATCAAGAGTTCCTGTCCACCGAAACAATTCCTGTATACAGGGTGGGACAAATTTCAGAAACAGGGAAGACACAACCAAAAATTTCAGTCCTGCTATGAAAGATCCAAGTACCGCACAAGCACATGCTATGCTCCAGTTCCTCCACTCCACACGCTCACATCACAACACCGCAACTGCCAAAATGTCAAAACAACATAAGCCATAACGAACCCCACCCACACCCACCTGCACCCAAACGACGTTCTTCTGCATCCCCTGAATCAGCTCTGGCTGGTGTCTGACTGCGCCTAACAAACGCCCCAACATCACCATCACCCTGCACCCAAGGAAACCCAACACACACCCCCCCACACCCACCTGCACCTGGACAACATTCTTCTGCATCCTCTTGGGCAGCTCCGGCTGGTTCTTTTTTTAGAATTCTCAATTTCTATTCCAACTTAACACCCAACTGCACCTGAGGGAACCCAACTACACCCACCAGCACCTGAGGGAACCCCACACCCCCACCTCTGGAGCAGCTCTGGCTGGTGCCTGACTGCATCAATCCGTTCTTTCAGCTGCCAGATGTTGTCCAGATCGATGTTGATGGAGGAGTACTATAGCAAGGGTACCCAACACACGCCCCAACACATGCCTGCTGCATCCACCTGAGGGAACCCAACCCAACACACCCACCTGCACCAAGAGCACCCCAACCCAGCACACCCACCTGCACCAAGAGCACCCCAACCCAACACACCCACCTGCACCAAGAGCACCCCAACCCAACACACCCACCTGCACCAGGAGCACCCCAACCCAACACATCCACCTGCACCAGGAGCACCCCAACCCAACACACCCACCTGCACCAAGAGCACCCCAACCCAACACACCCACCTGCACCAAGAGCACCCCAACCCAACACACCCACCTGCACCAAGAGCACCCCAACCCAACACACCCACCTGCACCCCGACGACGTTCTTCTGCATCCTCTGGAGCAGCTCTGGCTGGTTCCTGACTGCATCAATACGCTCCTTGAGCTGCCATATGTTGTCGGGATCGATGTTGATGGAGAAGGAGGAGTATTCCAGTTCGTCCTGCCACGGGTTGTCGTGCTCTCGGAAAAATGTGACCGGGATACACCCGGATATCAATGCCTAGGGTAGGGGGGAGGGGATGTGGGGAGAAGGGAGGGAAAGGAAAGGCGAAGGAGGAGTATTCCAGTTCGTCCTGCCACGGGTTTGATAGAATTGGAACTGAACTGATTGATTAGGAAAGAAGGCACTAGGCCTTAAGTACAAACGAGGTTGGGATGGGCAAGGCGAGGGAAAAGATGGGATGGGGATCCTAGCAAATCTCCAATTGGTGAGTTGGCAGATTTGCAGGATTACGAGGGAATCCCAACCAGATAGGGTTGGGATCACAAACTACACCCAACCTGCAAATAACCTACGCGATATAGAATATAGTACACAAAGTGTTGATAGCCTAATTCTAACAGGGTTGTCGTGCTCTCGGAAAAATGTCACCGGGATACACCCGGATATCAATGCCTAGGGTAGGGGGGAGGGGATGTGGGGAGAAGGGAGGGAAAGGAAAGGCGAAGGAGGAGTATTCCAGTTCGTCCTGCCACGGGTTGTCGTGCTCTCGGAAAAATGTCACCGGGATACACCCGGATATCAATGCCTGTATATGAATAAACGAAAAAAGAAAGAGAAGAAAAAGAAGATAGAAAAACAAAACTAAGACAATGACAAATCAGCCAACGAGAGGTTCTTTCGAACCAGTTGTAAATTGACTGCAAGATTTGATAGAAAAGGCTGTATCTTTTGAGACTCAGTGTACTTCTGTAGCGATTTACCACTGTAGCCATTCCCACCTTGAAGGGGCGGCTGGTCCACTGGGAGTGCCCCGGCGAGCAGATGCAAAAGACAGCCCGCCTGAAAAGAGACGAGTTTTTTAGTAGACTCAAACCCACCTTGAGGGGGCGGCTGGTCCACTGGGAGTGGCCCGGAGCCCACTAAACCGACTCGATTGACCATCACAGCCTCGTACCTTGAAGGGGCGGCTGGTCCACTGGGAGTGGCCGGGCGGGCAGATGCAGAAGACAGCCCTCCGCCAGTCAGGATCCGTGTCCCCCTCGCCCTTCTCTGCAAAGTCCCACCCCTCGTACCCTGCATGCGTGTACAGCTGCGCAACAGGGAAGGGAATGTGGAAAACAGGGGGGTTGGGGGAGGGTATGGAGATAGGAAAGAGAAAAGAGAAAACTAGCCTAAGACAGAAGCCAGCAGGTAGGCTGGCCTGTTTTGAGGCGCATCAAAACTAGACGACTAGCCTAAGACAGAAGCCAGCAGGTAGGCTGGCCTGCTGACAATCAGGTTATGCCCTTTCCCTCGCCCTTCTCCGCAAAGTCTTACCCCTTGTACCCTGCCTACGTGTTACAGCTGAGCAAGAGGGACGGAAGGGACGGGAGAGTGGGTGCAAGAATGGAGAGAGGAGAGAAAAAGGAGAGTCGGTCAGGGTGTATTTCCCCTTTCCCCTTTCCCCTTTGCCCTTTGCCCTTTGCCCTTTGCCCTTTCCCCTTTGCCCTTCGCCCTTTCCCCTTTGCCCTTTCCCCTTTGCCCTTTGCCCTTTCCCCTTTCCCCTTTCCCCTTTCCCCTTTCCCCTTTGCCCTTTGCCCTTTGCCCTTTGCCCTTTGCCCTTTGCCCTTTGCCCTTTGCCCTTTGCCCTTTGCCCTTTGCCCTTTGCCCTTTGCCCTTTCCCCTTTGCCCTTTGCTGCAAGGTCCCACCACCCCTACTCTTGCCTGCCCGCACCGAACCAGAACAGCACAGCGCTGCCAACTCACCTCCAACTCATCTCCAATTCACCTCCAACGCACCTCCAATTCACCTCCAACTCACCTCCAATTCACCTCCAACTCACCTCCAACTCACCTCCAATTCACCTCCAATTCACCTCCAACTCACCTCCAACTCACCTCCAATTCACCTCCAATTCACCTCCAGCCCACCTCTAATCACTCCGTGCGGATCTGAAGGCCTTGGTTCCAAATCAGACTAGGTCAGCGGTGTGTGATCAGACTAGGTCAGCGGTGTGTGATCAGACAAGGTCAGCGGTGTGTGATCAGACAAGGTCAGCGGTGTGTGATCAGACAAGGTCAGCGGTGTGTGATCAGACTAGGTCAGCGGTGTGTGATCAGACTAGGTCAGCGGTGTGTGATAAGTCGATTTTTTAGTCGACTCAAAAACCCAAATCAGACTATGTCAGCGGTGTGTGATCAGACTAGGTCAACTTTGAATCAGCGGAAGTTGCCAAGAGGGGCGAACCTAGCCCACCTCCTACTCACCCCCATCTCACCTCACACTCACCCCCTTCTCCCCTCCCACTCACCTTCTCCCCCCCCACTCACCTTCTCCCCTCCCACTCACCTTCTCCCCTCCCACTCACCTTCTCCCCTCCCACTCACCTTCTCCCCTCCCACGGGGAAACCAAGAGCGCAGGACCCACCATCAAGCCATCCCACCTCCCATTCCAACCGCACCTCACCTCCAGCAACTCCTTGCGAATCTGGTGGCCGTGATGCCATATCGGCACGCCATGGTGCTGCCCTGCTCCAAACCGGAACAGCACAGCGCGATCCCTCTCACCCTCCCACGGCGCCACCAGAAAGAAAACAAGTCAGCTCATCTCCCACACAGCGCAACCACACTCAACCGCACCTCACCTCCAGCAACTCTTTCCGAATCTGGTGCCCGTGATGCCATATCGGCACGCCATGGTGCTGCCCTGCTCCAAACCGGAACAGCACAGCGCGATCCCTCTCACCCTCCCACGGCGCCACCAGTGGCAGCCCCTTGGCAACAAGCACGGGCACGACAATGTCTCGATCGGGCAGGTAGCAGGGGATGTCTGGTAGTGATGGGTCCACTGGGATCTTGTAGTTGTATGTTATGGCCTGGGGGGCGGGAGGAGTAGGGAGGGGGGGGGGGGGAGAAGGATGGAGAGGGAGGGAAGAGGAAGAGGGCTTGCAAAGAGGTGCCACCAGTGGCAGCCCCTTGGAAACAAGCACGGGCACGACAATGTCACATGGAGAGGGGTTGGGATGGATCGGGCGGGGTCGGGAGGGGTCGGGGCTGATCGGGAGGGGTCAGAAGGGATCAGGAGGCGTTGGGAGGAATGGGAGGGCCGTGAGGGGGTAGGGAGCGGAGGAAGGGGAGGGGGTGAGGAGGGGAGAAAGGGGTGGGGGATAAGGAGGACAGGAAGGAGAGGCCCCTTCACCCCAACACATGGCAAGGGACGCGAGGGGCAGGGGGTGGAAGAAGAGGGGGTAGGGAATGGGGAAAGGAAGTGGGGGTTGGTGCAACAGGGTGGGGTGGGGTGGGGTGGGGTGGGGTAAGGTGGGGTGAGGTGGGATGGGGTGGGGTGGAGGGAAAGACTGGCTCCACTGCTCTCAACTGCATGTTGCGCTCCTTGCTCGCGTGCACACTCCTAACGAGTTTGTCCCCGTTATTAAGTCACAAAGAACATCTCGCCTCACCTGCATGTTGCGCTCCTTGCTTGCGTGTACACTCCTAACGAGTTTGTCCCCGTTATAAGTCACAAAGAACATCTCGCCCACGAGGCCCGGGTCCACGAACGTGAGCGAGTGGCAACGGCCGTGATCGAGCGTGAGGATGCTGAAGTGATCTCGGCCGTTGGTGCGGTTGAAGAAGGGGTAGTTCCGGCGCACTGTTGTGAGGATTTCTGTCCACACCTGCAGAGCAGAGCCAACAGGGGCAAGGGGTTTCAAGGATTCCAAAACACGTTGTGAGGATTTCTGTCCACACCTGCCGAGCCAACATGGTTCAAGGGTTGAGGTATGAGTTAGAGAAATTCTAAGAGTTTACGGGTTCCAAGAGTTGAATGGTGCATGACTCAAACTTCAGAATTTCAGAGTGCAACCTGAGACGTCTTTTGAGGCACCTCAAACTGCGTCGAATGGCTACCTTCATCGCGCATCCCCTCGAAACTCCCCTTTCCCCCTCCCTCCATCCCCACCCATCCTCCACTTTCCCCCTCATCCAATCCCGTCCCTCCTTCCGTTCCGCTCTCCACCCAGTCCCCCTCTCCCTCCCCCTTCCTCCCTTCCCCACTCGTCCCCTCCCCCACTCTGCCCCCCTTTCTCCCCCCCCTCCCCTCGCTCCCCCTCACTCGCGCACCTTGGATGCCTCTTCCACGGCGCCGCGCATGTTGTTCTCCCGGTCCTTGAAGTGGTACAGCGCGCCGCTTTCATTGCACACAGTCGTACCTGCTTTCCACTCCTCCCACCCCCCTCACCCGCGCACCTTGGATGCCTCCTCCACAGCGCCGCGCGTGTTGTTCTCCCAGTCCTTGAAGTGGTACAGCGCGCCGCTTTCATTGCACACAGTCGTACCTGCTTTCCACTCCTCCCACCCCCCTCACCCGCGCACCTTGGATGCCTCCTCCACGGCGCCGCGCATGTTGTTCTCCCAGTCCTTGAAATGGTACAGCGTGAGTCGCGCCGAGAAGAACGGCACGAAGAAGAGCGACGCCTCGTACGGATCCACGGTGCGCACGGCGTTACTCGCTATAAGCAGCTCCGTCATATGCTTCTCGACATCGTACTGCTGCGAGTACCACGCGGGCTCCAGCTGGAGAATCTTGTCCGTATAAGCCGGGCCCAGATCGTACACGTAGATGAACGGCCGTCGATCGTCGTCGGTGCTGGAATTACGCAGCGCGCGACCCGACGCGACGTTGCTACTGATGACGATGTCGCCTGAACCATCGAACCCAACCCTGCCGTCGCCGCCGCTGCCGCCGCCGCTGCTGCTGCTGCTACTGGTGCTGATTCCTCTCCTGCGGGTTTGCTCTTTGCTGCCGTGTAGGCAGCGGCAGCACTTGGATTGCCAGAGGGAGAAGGAGATTAAGGAGACTAGGGAAACGAGTGCGATTAGAAACACTCCCGAGAGCCGCGGAACGCGCTTGGCGTTGTAAAGCGAGGAGATCGCGCGATGAATGTTACGCGGTAGCACTGCGCGTAACCTTTGCGCCGACTCGATGGCTGGTAGCAATGCGTGTGGTAGCCGCTGCGTCGACTCGAAAGAAGGCGGCATGGTGCCGAGTCGCTTACCGATAGGGCTTCAGATAGTAACGAGTTCACTTTACCACATGAGCCATCGCGTTCTGATATGTGTCAGAAAGAAAAGCTTAATGTGGCAACGGGGTCGTACCAAATAGTCGAGAATTCGCTGGCGGAGAGGGACGAGAAGAGAGAGAAAGAGAGAATGTTTTGTAGGCACGTATACAAACGAGTTCCGAGAACCACAGGTGCGTCTCTGATTCACCAACATTGACCGAATGGTGCAGCAACATACTAGTCAACTAGACTTACTGCCGCACATAGTCAACTCAATATACTTCAGACGTCCATAAGCGAAAACACCAGTTCCGAAGGACTGGTCCCTAAATTTTAACCTTCTGTTAAGCCTAAACGTTTTACAGCGATAATATGCAATTAAGGGCGGTGATGTGCGTTTTCACCATTTCGAAACCGCCACTCACCGCCTTTGAATTTCAGGTGTGAACAGTGAACGATTTTTTCAGGACCCGTCAGCATCCACACTCAAAAACTCAATAAGCGGGTTTTGGACATTTTCGAGCGTTTCACTACGGTTCTTTGCGATCTCTTATTCTGATGCTACCTTGGGGAACTTCCTGAACAGGTTTGTCATCAGAGAAGGGACAAACCTGATTTCTAGTTCGTCGTCACGCAACTGAAACGCTACGAACCGCTGCGAATCGTAAAATACCTTACTGAACCAGTACGTCACATTGCTGCCATTTCCCGAGGGTGTGCCGCGTGGTGAAACTTGCTTTTCACAAACCACGTACCACGGTTCTGACTGGTGCTTTTCGGTAAAAAACATGAAAGGTATGAAAACTGATAGCACTGGAAGTTCGGCGCGGGAGAAAGCCAACAGCATGGATTACTTCGAGGACAAACGAAGTAATTCGGGAACTTCGCCTGTAACAATTTCGCCTTCGACCTTGTGTTATCTTGTATCTTGCTACCCTACGTTTCAGATTGGGTTATTATACGAATGGTCACTAAACAGAACGCGCTATCACGAATGGTCTTGGGGTTATCACGAACGGTCATTGAAACAGGCGATTCTATCACGGATGGTCACTGGTTATCACGGATGGTCACTCGTCGCCCCACGAGGCTATCACGAATAGTCACTGAAAGAAACGCCCGCCAGAAAGTTGAAATTCTCCCCCTTACGACCTCTCACTGTTACGATTGAGGGACTGTTAGCGCGTTTGTTCTGTTTGTCTTTTTCGAGTTGCACTGTTCCAACCGTAGGAAAGCGCGAAGTCCAACCATTTTCCTACAAGAGTGAGGGGAGAAATCTATTGCACTTAGCTTAGGGTTTCGCCTCCGCTGCTACCTTAGTGGAGACAAGAGACTTCCAGTACAGGTGAGCAACTTAGTGTAAGTGGCAATGTGGACTACGGATTCAGCCAAATCTTGTTCAACAAAATCCGTCGCCATGGCGCCAGATCTGGCGCCACGAAATCCGTCGCAATGGCGCCAGATGAGGCGCCACGAAATCCGTCGCCATGGCGCCAGTTCTGGCACCACGAAATCCGTCGCCATGGCGCCAGATCTAGCGCCACGAAATCCGTCGCCATGGCGCCAGAACAGGCGCCACGAAATCCGTCGCCATGGCGCCAGATCTAGCGCCACAAAATCCGTCGCCATGGCGCCAGATCTGGCGCCACGAAATCCGTCGCCATGGCGCCGGGTCTGGCGCCAAAAAATCTGGCGCCACGAAATCCGTCGCCATGGCTTCAGATCTAGCACCACGAAATCCGTCGCCATGGCGCCAGTGTCAGAACATTATAGCTTATATATTTGTGTAGGCTATAGTGGGGTATCCCATAGGGGGTACAACCCAATCAGAGTTTCCTATATGTACTCACTTCATTCATAGTTCATTCATTCTCGTTCTAGTTTCTCTCACATGGTTTCAGAGCGGTTACGCTCTCGGCCTGTGGGTACTACTGCCTACGGCGCGCGGCGATTTGCACTTTGGCGCGCGCCTCGGGGCGCGCGGCCTTTTTCTTTTCTAGCGCGCCGCCCGTCCCGGCCCCTAGCCGCCCGTCCCGGCCCCTAGCCGCCCGTCCCGGCCCCTAACCGTACGTGCGCCGCCCGTCCCCGCCCTTAGACGCCCGCGCGCCGCCCGTCCCGGCCCTTAGACGCCCGCGCGCCGCCCGTCCCGGCCCTTAGCCGCCCGTCCCGGCCCTTAGACGCCCGCGCGCCGCCCGTCCTGGCCCCTAGCCGCCCGCGCGCCGCCTGTCCCGGCCCTTAGCCGCCCGCGCGCCGCCCTTCCCGACCGCGCGCCGCTGCTCCAGCCCGTCGACGCCCGTGAGCCGCCCGTCCCGGCCCCACGCCGCCCGTGCGCCACCCGTCCCGGCCCCGCGCCGTCGTCCTGGCCCCCAGTCCGCCCGTGCGCCGCCCGTTCCGGCCCCACCCCGCCCGTGCGCCGCCCGTTCCGGCAGCGCGCCGCCGTCCCGGCCCCACGCCGCCCGTGCACCGCCCGTCCCGGCCCCGCGCAGCTGCCCCGGCCTGTCGCCTGCTGCATTGCCGAGCCGCCCCCCCCCATCGAGCCGCTGAGCAGCCCAGCAGCCGAGCCGCAGAGCAGCCGAGCCGCCCGAGCCGCCCGAGCCGCCCGAGCCGCCCGAGCCGCCCGAGCCGCCCGAGCCGCCCGAGCCACCCGAGCAGCCGAGCTGCCGAGCCGCCCGAGTCGCCCGAGCAGCCGAGCCGCCCGGGTCGCCCGAGCCGCCGAGCCGCAGCTGCTGCAGTGCCGCCGTGCCGCCGAGTCGCCGAGTCGTCGAGCCTGCTCTTCCCACCACTGGTGAGCCCCTGCCTTACTAGCGCGCTGCCTGCAGCTTGCTTGGCTGCCTGCCTTACTACTGCTACTCCTGCTCCTGCTTCTACTGGCGGCGGCCAGATGCAGCTCCAGCGACGCCCTCGCGCGTCTCTCACGCCCCAGCAGCTTCGTGAGTGGTACGCTCAGAGTAGAGGGTCTCTCAGTTCTGTTCGCTGCTCTTACGTGATTCGCACTGGTGCTCGGACTGGTCAGCCTTGTGGGACGCCTAGTCATACACCGTCCCGATGCTTCGCCCGTCTGAACGACGCCTGGCGTACCGAGTTTGGCGACGAGGCTGAGCTCCCCGACTGGGTGGAGTTGCTTAGACGGAGGGTAGATATATTTGCTCTTGAGTATGATGCTATTCTCACTGCCATGTATGCACTGCCTACTAGTGCTGACCGTGACGGTCACCTGGGCGTACCGCCTGACCAGGGTATAGAGCCTGCTGCTCTAGCTGCTGGTGCGGCTGCTGCTCTTGGTGCTAGTGTGTCTCCTGCTCCAGGTACAGGTGCGGCTGCTGCTCTAGGTGCTAGTGAGTCCGCTTCCTCAGGTGCGGGTGAGTCTGCTCTCTCAGGTACCGCGTCGGCTCCGGCCTCTCACACCTTCACCCTTGACTCAGGGGCTTCCCGCTCCTTCTTTCGAGACCGCACCACCCTCACGCCGCTTGGTCGGCCAGTTGCAGTCTCTCTGGCAGACCCCTCTGGGGGCCCTGTCCTTGCTCACTTCTCCACTGTCCTCCCGTGTCCGGCGGCCCCCTCTGGCACCCTGTCTGGTCTTTACCTCCCCTCGTTCTCTACGAACTTGGTGAGTGGTGCTGACCTGCACGATGCGGGGGTTCACCAGTTCACTCCTGCGAGTCAGCGGGTGACCCACTGCACAGACGCTCGGACAGGCCGACACCTGGCCACGTTTACTCGTCGGCCAGGGTCGAGCCTGTACACACTGACCACTGCGTCTCCTCTAGTTACTGAGTCTGGTAGGGTAGCTGCGTCGGGTCAGGTGTTTGCTGCAGCGTCCAGGTCTGGTCCTGAGTCTGCCCCCTGTTTGTGTCGTCTCCTGTCTCACGAGACTCTCCTCTGGCACCACCGCCTTGGTCACCCCTCTCTGCTTCGGCTCAGAGGCATGGCCTCTCGTCTTCTTGTTTCTGGTCTCCCCCGGTCCCTCCCTCCCCTTCCTCAGGGCCCTGGCCCTACCTGTGTCCCCTGTGTCGAGGGGCGCCAGCGTGCTGCCCCTCACTCCTCCCAGTTTCCTCCGACAGAGGCCCCGTTGCAGACGATTCACATGGACGTGTGGGGCCCAGCCCGCGTCAGTGGACAGGGTCACGAGCGCTACTTCCTGCTAGTTGTTGACGACTACTCGCGTTACACTGCAGTCTTCCCCTTGCGCAGCAAGGGTGATACGGGGATGAAGCAAAAATTCTTGTTGATACGGGCGCGACTGTTTCTCTCTTCGATGAAAACAGAGCCACAAGTCGTGGGGTCCTCGTTGAAGGGCCGTCTTGCCCCATTCGTCTTGGTGACGATCGCGTCATCCCAAGCAAAGGGCAGACACGTATCAATATGGAAATTCAAGGCTATCACGAGACCATTAATGTTTACGTCCTTCCATTATTGGCAGGCGTAGATCTTGTTCTCGGAATGGACTGGCTTCGAGCCAATGAGGTC